AGTGGAAATAGCTGTGGGTTGAGATCCACCTGGGCCTGAGCTGTGTGACTTTGTACCAGTCACTTAACTTCTCTGAGCCTCAATTTCCTCATCTGTGGAAAAGGTATAGTAAGTCCCCCTTCCTTACAAAGGAGTTGTGAGGGCCCAATGAGATGGTGTCTGTAAGGCCCTTAGCACAGAGGTGGCACACATCCTTACTATGAAAGAGAAGGCAGAGCAGACATGGCCCTGGCTACCAGGTGAGGTCTGAACAGGAAAACCAGGGAGTCAGGGGGCCCTCATGTCTCACCATCACTGCAATGGACTTTCAGGCTGCTAGGAGTCCTGCAGGAGCCCTGGTGGCACAGTGGTTAAAGTTGTCAGCTGCTAACTGAAAGATCAGTGATTGGGACCCACCGGCCACTCCATGGGAGTAAGATGTGACAGTCTGCTCCCATAAAGAGTATAGCCTTGGAAACCCCACAGGGCAGCTCTACCCTGTCCTTTAGGGTCACTATGAGTTGGAATTGACTCGATGGCAGTGGGTTTGGTTTGGGGAATCCTGCAGGGGTGAGACTGCCTGGTAACCCAGCCCAGACCCTTTCACTCTGTGCTTTTGCCAAGGGCCTGGACGTCTGTGAGTGGGGCCAACCCAGGCTTGGGATGGGCAGAGGGGTTTCTGGGGGGGAGCAGTGGCTGTGTGAAGTCACAAGCGCAATGACATAGACTTACCACCAGGTAGCGGCACAAACCCACCCACTGGGAGAAGACACTAGCCAGGCCTAAGCAGAAGACAAGTTATTCGGGAATAACGCAAAGATTTAACAAGAACTTTTCTCCCCTCTGTATGCGGCATATGATAACCTCTTTATATATTTCGTTTCGTTTCATGCAATAGTCCTGTGGTAGGCACCATTACCCTCCTTTAGGAAGTGAAGAAATGGAGGTGGTGTAGCTAGTAATTGGCAACATTAGGATTTGAACCCAGTCAGTCTGACTTCAGAGCCCTGGTATGCAGTGGTTAAAGCACTTGGCTGCTAACCAAAAGGTCTTCGATGGGAACTCACCACCCGCTCTACACTACGTGGGAGAAAGATGTGGCAGGATGTGACAGTTGGCTTCAGTAAAGTTTTACAGCCTTGGAAACCCTGTGGGGCAGTTCTACTGTGTCCTAAAGCGTTGCTATGTGTCGGAATTGAACCCTGGCAGTGGGTTTGGTTTGGTTTCTTTTCAGTCTGACTCCAGATTAGTCTCTTAACCTCTGAGGTCACAGAAGGTCAGAGCTGCAAGGCCCTGTAGAAATCTAGTTCTGTGGTTCTAAACCTATCTGATTATAAAAATCACCTGAGGCTCTTTTAAGAAAAATTCTTAATTCCTGGGCCGTAGTCAGGCACTAAATTAGAATCTCCCAGGAAAAGAGATCTGGGAATGTATGTGGGTAACAAGAGCCCCTGTTCTGGAAACATGAATCTGCTCCCAGAGCAGGAAGGTGACTTGCCCAAGGTCACAGAGCTCATCCCGCCAACCTCTTAATACTCTCTGATCTAGAAGCCACGCCATCCCAGAAAAAAGATGAGACAATCTCTGCCCAGCGCTGGAATGTGGTAGCATCATCAGGGAGGAGAAATTGTCTTTTCTCCTCTTTTGAATGATTTTATAAATAAATATTGTATGGAATTGATTAATAGTGTTAATTTCCCCCACAAAACAATTATAATAGTAATTTATGATTATACTTTTTCCCAATAACTTCATCAACTTTGGCTTTTATCATTTTGCTCTTTTTTTTTCCTATTTAACAGGTGTTTTTTTCTATTTAATAGCTGTTTAAGTTCGCATTAAAATTTGTTAGATAGAAAGTGGATCACTGAATTGTGCATGTAGAAAATGTTCAAATGGCAGAACTTTGGTTATATATATGTATACTCACCATGAAAAAATAAGAAACTAATTTTTTTTCAAAAAGTAACTTAAATCGGAAGGTCCAGAGTTTTCCAATGTCATCGACAAATGGTCTCAGAATGATTTCATCCAAACTGTTTACTGTTGTTGTTAGGTGCTGTTGAGTTGGTTCTGACTAATAGTGCCCCTATGTACAACAGAACGAAACACTGCCCAGTTCTGCGCCATCCTCACAATTGTTACTATGCTCGAGCCCATTGTCACAGCCACTGTGTCAATCCATCTCATGAGGGTCTTCGTCTTTTTCCCTGAAGAGGACGTGAAATAAAAGATATCATTGCTAATCTTAAATGGATCTTGGCTGAAAGCAGAGAATACTAGAAAGATGTTTACCTGTGTTTTATTGACTATGCAAAGGCATTTGACTCTGTGGATCTTAACAAACTATAGATAACATTGTGAAGAATGGGAATTCCAGAACACTTAAAGTGGAATCTGCACACAGAAAAAGAGGCAGTTGTTGGAACAGAACAAAGGGATACAGAATGGTTTAAAGTCAGGAAGGGTCTGTGTCAGGATTGTATGCTTTCACAGTACTTATTCAGTCTGCATGCTGAGCAAATAATCTGATAAACTGAAGTATATGAAGAAGAACACAGCATCAAGATTGGAGGACGACTCATTAGCAACCTGTGACAAGCAGATGACACAACTTTGCTTGCTGAAAGTGCAGAGGACTTGAAGCACTTAGTGATGAAGATCAAAGACTACAGCCTTCAGTATGGATTACACCTCAACATAAAGAAAATAAAAATCCTTACTACTGGACCAATAAGCAATATCATGATAAACACAGAAGATATTGAAGTTGTCAAGGATTTCATTTTGCTTGGATCCACAACCAACACCCATGGAAGAAGCAGTCAAGAAAACAAACAATGCATTGCATTTGGGAAATCTACTGCAGAAGACCTCTTTAAAGTGTTAAAAAGCAAAGATGTCACTTTGAATATCAAGGTGTGCCTGACCCAAGCCATGGTATTTTCAATGGCCTCATGTGCATGCGAAAGCTGGTCAATGAATAAGGAAGACCGATGAAGAACTGATGCTTTTGAATTATGGTGTTGGCAAAGAATCATGACTATACCATGAACTACCAGAAAAACCAACAAATCTGTCTTGGAAGAAGTCCAGCCAGAATGCTCCTTAGAAGCGAGGATGGTGAGACTTCAACTCACTTACTTTGGACATGTTATCAGGAGGGGCCAATCCCTGGAGAAGCACATCATACTTGGTAAAGTAGAAGGTCAGTGAACGAGAAGACCTTCAACAAAATGGATTGACATTGAAACAGTGTCTGCAGCAATGGGCTCAAACATAGCACCAATTGTGAGGATGGTGCAGGACAAGACAATGTTTTCTTCTGTTATACGTAAGGTCACTATGAGTCAGAGCTGACTCGATGTCAACTAACAAAACACGACAGATACATCATTTTTAGAAACTGCCAAACTGTTTTTGGAAGTGGTTGTAACATCATACATTTCCACCAGCAATGCATCAGGGTTTAGAAAGGTTTAGATATAGAAATGATGATAATAGTAATAAAAATAGTAATAAATAATATCTCTGCTTATTAATTTTATACTTTCTTTATATTTTGTTGAAAAGAATGAGTTTAGGATAGACCTTAGAAGAAACTCTCCATTTATCTTAAAGTAAACCTCAAATGTTTTGGCATCTAATTCTAGAGTCTGTTTCGCTGGTGCATTTAACCAACAAAGAATCAATACCAAAAATGTGTTTCCTAAAATCAATATATAATACGTTTAGAGTTGGTCACTCCTCATTATGCTTCTTTTTAATAAAATTCCCCTGGAAAATATAATTTTCCTTATAAAATTAAGTATCTTTAGAACTTAGCATGTTAAGTTCTAAGAATAAAACATGCAAGCCATAGTCTTGCTTACTTGTTTTAAAATTGTAATTGTGTTTATGGATGGCATTTCATACTTAATATGTTCACACCCACACCCACACACACACAAAGATTCAAAACATGAATTGATGCTGCCTGGCAAGAATATATAGGCCCTCATGAAGAAATTGATTAAAAATACTGACAACCTAATAGTTCCAGACACCATGGTTTCTCATGTTTCTTGTCTCCTATCTGTAGCCCATGGTGCAAAGGGACCTGTGTATTTGTCTTTGATGATGCAAAGAAGTAGGAGACCACCATGATTTGGGTGCATTAAAGGGCTTTCTCCTAGCTCAGTGAAACATTCCTTACAGCACAGAGGAAACCCAAAAAAAGCAGGCAAGGAAATCTTCCAGATCTATGTATGACCAAAACGCAGGAATATTAAGTGAAAGCCATTATTGTATTGCAACGCAATCCACATTTTCTCTTTTTATTTCTACTTCTTTTTCTTGAAGCTGTAAGAAAGATGATTTTCACTCCATGTTTATTGGAGAAAACTTTTATGAAGCAATTCGAGCAGATGCAGATGGTGAGTTCAGATGCATAGGGAGAAGTAAGGATTGAATAAAAAGAAAACTGGGAAAAAGGAACACAAGGCACTCTGAGCAATATTGGGGACCTCCAGGCCAAGGCCAGGGCCTGAGGAAACCCAACAAGGAGGACGTTTTCTGTAGGGCCAGTGAACCAGGAGTGAGCCACATCCCGAAGAAGCACTCTCTTTGTGGAAGAATAAGAGCGAAGCTCAAAATCTTGTCATGTTGTGAAGAAGCTGGGACAGAAGGCTCTTCCTTGAGAATTACCATCTTCACTTCAGCTCAGGAGTCCTGAGGAAGACAGAGAAGAGTGTTGTTTCCAAAATAACTCCACAAGCAACTTCTTTTCCCCTTCTCTCAGGCCCTCAAGTTACAGCAACCTGGTCAGAAGAAAGAAAAAAAAAGTGCCTTAAGTCTCCGTGACCCAAAGCTGCTCTGGAGCACAGGGCTTTTAAACAGAGATAAGAATCTTAGTACAAACTGCCTGATCAGAAATCTGAATCCAAAGTCTTTCCTGATATTTCTGTCTCCTATCTTATCTCCTCTACTGTCAATTCTAGGAGAACCAAATCTAATTGTAAAAGAGAATTAAAGTCTATTACCTATTGATTGAAGTCCAGAGTGTGCTGGGGAAGAGAGAGGAAGATACCCGTTTATGAGATATAGAGGCACATCTGTTCCCACACATATAAATAATATCTCTGCTTGTTATTCCTCAGTTCTAGATGTGCCACCTGGGATTTCTCTAATACTGCAACCGTATCACACAGTGGCGGAGTAGAGAGCAGAGTCTGAGAGCCTTCAATTTACGAAGCTTCTGCCATACAAACCCAGCATAATTTTATTAGCTCCAGTAGTTCCTCTTTCATCTGCCCCAGGATCCTGACCCAAGACCTCCATGCATGGTAGCCTTTCTTTTATCTGTCACAGGTTGTAAACTGTATGCTTTGACAAAAGAACCATGGGCTCCTTTTTCCTGAATGCCCCCAAATTTGGGATTGACTGGAAGACATAAGCTTTATACAAGGTCACTGCTATACAGAAAAATAAATCGAGCGAAGCCATATTTCTTCACTCAGAGAAGTCCAGGGAAATCTCAGCTACCAACAGATTCCTTACCTTTCTGATTCCTGAAGTGGATGAACAGCCCCACCCCAAGGAAGAGCAGACCCAGAACCAAGCCCCCGATTCCACTCAGCATCTTGCTCTGTGTAGATTCAGATTGTGCCCCTAAGAGAAGAAGCCAGGTTTAGTGATTTTTACCCCAAATCCAACTTCTCTAATGGAGACTCTGAGATTCAGAGCTTTGAAAATGGAGGAAGAAGTCTGCTCTGCAAAACAGAATAACTGGTCACTTCTGGTAAACGAAGTTTTAAAAATCTCATTGAGGAGATACAAGGTTCAGGCATTGATGTCATTAAATATCCCAGCCCTGACATAAGGTTTGACCACACATCTGAAGTGTGAGGACCCAGGGATTCAGGGAGGTTAAGTAGCTTGCCTAGAGTGACAGAGCTGATAAAGGCAGAGCTGAGATTGCATTCCCCTCAGGTCAGGAAGGGCCCTGCATTGTAGAGGATGCTCCCCTCCTCAGATCACGATGAACATCTATACAACTCAGAGCAACAGCACCGGAAGCAGAAGCCCAGCCCCACACA